GCACATAACAACAACAACAGCGTACTGGAATATATTAGTAATATCTCTAGAGGTAGTCCATTAAAGGGTCAGGGTATGAATGGGGATGAGGTTGCTGATACACATTTTGCTTCATAATGTTGACTGCAACTTTGCACAATGTAATAACTCTCTTCCCACTTCCTCCCCATAATTACCTCTTCCCTGCATCCTTCCCTCCCATGTACTTCCCCCCCACACCCCAGGTGTCTCCCTGTGCAAACACTGCCCTTCTGTTCTCCCACAATTGATCGTTCCAAGGAGTGTATCTACCTGATGTAAATCTTTATCCCATATGTCTGTTTATTGTTTGGCTAGAAGCCACAGGAGTAAGTTCAGTTGCAGACCAAAAGGGTAACTAGGGGCCAGTTTCAGGGGTTTCACCAGGCTCTCTCAGACCAGTAAACCTGGTCTTTTTTATTTTTTATTTTTTTTTTAAGATTTTGAGTTTTGTTCCACACTGTTCTCCCACTCTATCTAGGACCTCTTGCACCAATTCCCCCTTCCCCCCACTGTCAAGTGGTACCCCAGCACCATTTAGTTCTTCTGGTCTCATGGTCATATAGGCTGAGGATTGCATGGTCTATCAGTCCCTTGGACTAATTATTTCCATGATTCTTTGGTTTTCTTCATTTTCCTTTGCTCTGGACAGGGAGAGACCCATCGTTGCATCTAGATGGCCACTTGCAAGCTTTTAAGACCCCAGTCGCTACTCATCAAAGTAGGACATAGACCAATGTTTTTGTGTACTAAGTTATGCCAGTTGAGCTTGATGTCCCCTACAACTATGGTCCCAAGTCTGCAAGTCCAACTACTCACTCCCTCTGGCTAAGCTGGTGGTGGCCAAGAAGCCCACAACCTGGCCCCTTGTTAGCTCTACTATACAACCAGACAGTCTTACAGCTCATGCAAATACACATGTAGAAACATTGTCTGCTAGCCCTATACATGGTCATGGGCACACTCCCCTCTCCCTAGGCATACCTGATCATTCAGCCTGAAGGTGGACAGGTTTTAGTGGAGCTTTCAGACGTGACCAGACTAGGAGGAAAGACCTGACAATCTACTTCTGAAAATGAGTCAATGAAAACTTTTGATTCACAAAAGAACATTGTCAGACTTGCTTGCGTTGGATGGCTCATCTGGAGAGATTGAGCACTAGAAAAGGATATCATTTTGGTGAAGTGGTAGGCCAAAAAAGATGTGGGAGACCTCTAGTGAGATGGGTTGTCACAGTAGCATCAATGATGGACTTGAACTTGCTGTTGACTATAAGATACAGGAGAAGGCAACATTTCATTCTGTTGTACGTGGGGTTGCCATGAGTTGAAGTGGATTGATGGCAGCAAACAACAGCAACAACATATAGCTAGTGGCTACTCTTTTGGAAAGCCAGTTCCAGAGCCTTCAAGGAAGACATGTAGGTCAGTTTCAATCTCTTACAACAATTCATCAGTTGATTCTCTGATTCTGGCCTGAATATTTATTTCTATCATTGGACAATTGTATTCATCCTTCTACATCCCAAATACAACTAGTTCTTCCTTCATCTTAACCTAGATCCCTCAAAAATCAGAGACTAACAAAATCTTATATATATGTAGTGTATTTGGGAATGTTATCTTAGAAGAAGGAATTAATTATAAGGGAGTGGTAAAACTAGGCAAAAGGTAACAGCAATAAACACTATGTTACAAAGTAGGCAATCACAGAGGGCAATTGGCACTTGATGCCACAGGACTTTCTGAAAAGACAAAAGAAGTGAATCTCAGAAGAGTTTTCCCTGAGGTGAAAGGAGAAAACATATTATACCAGTGTCAGGCCCCCATTGACAAAGTATGGGCATCTGGGCATTAACCACCCTGCACTTAAAGCTTGTATAATCACAAGTGTGTTACAGGTTACTACAAGCATCTCACAATATGATATTAGAGAACTTGCAGATCAGGAAGGGAGAGGCAAGGTTCTTCTGGATTTAAAGTACATAAGATGTCCCCAATATCATCTCCAACAGATGTGAAGCCAAACCCAGGCCAGTGGCTTAGGAAGAGTAGAAGTAACCTACCACCAGAGAAGAGGATCCATATGAAAGACTATGGGTGTCTGTGGAGATGGTACTCACCATCAGAAGCCAAATAATTTATTATCTCTGTCAATGGAGCCAGATTCATCTGCATACCCAGCACTGATGGTGAAGAAAGTAAGCTTTTCTGATGGGCAAGAAGAGCCTCATCACTCACTGAGCGTGCTTGACCAAACAAACAGGAAGAACAAGATTGGCATTAAAATAGAATTCTAGAGGCTTATACCAGAATGGTTTTATTGAAGAAGAGGAGGCACCAGTTAGGGCAGGGTAGGAGAGAACCCACCCAGGGAAGGAATATAAGCAATGAGAAAGGTTTTTTTTTTTTTTTTTTCTCCTAGGATCAAGAGACGATGAGAATGACCCAGGTTCAGAGCTGAGGTTCGGGTCAGCCAGGGCCTCAAAGACAACCTAGGCACCATGGAAGAAAGAGAATCAGAAAGCAGGTTCTACTTGAACTGAAAATCTGAATTAGAGCAGCAAGGTCTCCCCAGAGCTTCCTCTGACAGGGTCTCCTGAGAGGCAATTTTGGTAAGGAAAGGGATCTGGACCTAAGGCCAAGCCTAAGTGAGTCCGTAATCCTAGAAGTTAGGTGTGAGGGTGGCACTGACACCACTCCCAAAGGGAGGTGGCTGACCAAACAAAGAGGGAAGGAGATGGGTGGGGAAGACCACAGAAGCATCTATCCGTTGCTCAACCATGACCATTCCTCAGTATCATCCTAGAGACGTGTCACGAAGTAGTGAATCATTTTCAAATAACCTCTTTATGATTCTGAAACCAGTTTCTAAGCCTTTCTCTAAAATAATTCTCTCTCTCTTGCTCTATCTCCCATGAACTTACAAATTTGTGAAGGAAATAATAGTGATCTGTTGACTGAGTACCTATTATAACAGGCAGTGTGTTAGGATGAAGTGTGACCACTGGTTTTGGAGATCTGGAGGAAGGAGGTGATGGTGGTGACTGTACTTGGGGCTCAGGTTCATGTGAGATGACATAGCAATAGATATGTTTGGAGGGAGAAACAATCCACACACCCAGGTTTTAAGGATGATTTGGATTTGCCAGTGGCCACACCTACTATCATTGTGTACTTAGGGCAGCTCTAGGTTAGTGACCTTGGTTTCATCTTATCATAAGTAGAGGAAACTCTAGCTATAAGAGCCCTGGCAATCCCAGCTTTCTTATTTCTGTGTCACACCCAGAGAAGAGAGACACCATGAAAGCCAGGGTTTTTAAGACTAGTCATCATGTCAAACAGATCCATTCAATCATGACAGTCCATCTTCAATAATTTTTACTACTTTGGTAGACATAACAGCTTATAGCTTCCTCTGTAATCAAGAAAACTCAGTCCAAAAGCAGACGTTTTATTTTATCCTTTCCTTTCTCCTTCTAGGCCTGGATCTAAATGAAGACAATCAGAAGATTCACTTATTGACCATCCTCATGGCTTCCAGAATTAGAAGTGGCAATTGTTTCCTCCATATCCACTTCCAATATTGAGCAGTTCAATAGAGCAAACATGGGCTAAACATTAGGGTTCTGGCCAAAATGCATTGTGATTTCTAGTTCCAAAAGCCCTAGAACTTCCTCCTGCTACCCCCAAGAAGCCTGCTGCACACAGCAACCCCAACACGCAGGATGGACATTATAGACAGGCCCAGGTGACATCATTATTAGACAGTAAGTGCCAAAGAATGTTAAGCCCCAGATTTTCATCACAAAAGCTAGAATGAAGATAGGGTGGCCCCCAAAATCCCATTTCCTTAAGGCAGGGCTCATTTGCTGCATAAAAAGCCAACTGGCCAGAGACTCCACACCAGACCAGAGAGACAGGACGACTCATTCTTCTCATTGTTTCAGGTGAGTCTCCCCACTGGGAACTTCTTAATATTAGCACAGAAATATTTACATTAATTGGAACCTCTTTAACATTTTAAGAATTTTTAAAAACATATTTTATTGTAAATGCAACTGCAGTTTGTGCATAGTAAACTTTATAAATTATCACATCTGTCATTATAGCTCTGTGACTTGGGGTCAATATAAGTTAGTAACTTCTGTAAGAATTCCTACTGTGTTAGCAAAAGGATATGGACTAATGTCCATGTTCAGGAAAATATTTTAGTGACATTTTTATACTCTCTTAACTTTATTGAGGTTTTGCAATATCAAAAGCACCATACTAGGCAATTTGGAAATCTAAAAGATAAATTTTTCTTTACTCTGAACCTACAGTCCATCGGGAAACATGATACATGGGCATAATGTGTGAACATACAAGATAGAAAGTGATTACTAGGTAATGTGCTGTGGCAATACGAGGAAGGTGACTTAACATCTGGCTGATGGTGCCTGAGAGAAGTGTCATGAAGAGTGAGTAAGTGCAGAGCAGCAGCATGGAGTGGAAAACCTTCCAGAAAGGATGCACAGAGGGGGCTGAGCAGAGGGTCAGAAATGCGATCATGTGGGGCTCAGGAGAGATTTAGAGTTTACACCTAAGAGCTCAGGCACTTTTGGGGTTGGACATGAAGGGTGAAGTTTTATTTTATCACCTTTCCAAATTATCTAAACCCTAGGAAGGTCAAGGAAGCAATCCTGGAGCCTTCTGTGTGTATGTCTAGTATAGGTTATTAGATGAGCTAGGAAGAAAGAATCATAGGGAAGGGCTCCACTCACATAAAGCAGAACAAATCACTTTTAGATTTCTCTTAAAAGACGCAAGAATCATCAAAGCACATTTTGATCTAAAATTCAAGGAAACAGAAAGGAAGAGTAGACAGACTCTCACATCTAAGGGAGTTAAATGAGGTATATTCGATATTGAACTTGACTTCTACGTTTAACCAAATCACTGATTCATCTTTTCTTTCTCAGGTTCAACCAGCTTTGAATCATGACTTCCTATCAGCAGAAGCAGCCCTTCACCCCACCACCTCAGATTGATGAGCAACAGGTGAAACAGCCCTCCCTGCCTCCACAAGAACCACTTGTTCCCATAAACAAGGAACCATGCTACCCTTACGTCCAACAACCTGACAACCCCAAGATTCCAGAGCCAAGCCACCCCGGGTGCCCTGAGCCAGGCCACCCTAAGGTCCCTGATCCAGGCTACTCCAAGAACCCAGAGCCGTGTCCCTCACCAGTCAATCCAGGCCCAGGCCAGCAGAAGACAAAGCAGAAGTGATGTGACCTTCAGACCTGCCCTTGAGGAGCTAACCACCAGTTCTGAGTACCTTCTTCCAATATGCTTCTGTATCTTAATTCCCTGCAGACCTTGTAATTAATATGTTGTCACCCTGAAGCATAGTCTCTTTCTTGTTTGCATACTAAAAATATGGGCTTTGGAGCTCTCCCTTACATATGCTCTGGTGTGTCCCCTGAGCCTCTGAAATAAGCAGAAGGTTTTGCTAGTCTTCAGCTGCCCAGGGTCCATGTCAAGAGGGATTCTGGATGGGAAAAAAAATTCATGTTTCTTTCTCGGCTTCCATTAAATCACTTTTCATTCTATTTAGTCTGTGTCTTTGTTTGACTCTATTCCCTTTCATGCTCTCCCACCATGACAGCAAAGAGTTGGTATGGAAGTCATTTAATCCTGGCAGGAGTGCATGGAGTTGTGCTTAGAGGGCATTTCTGGATTTCAATAAATATTTTTCGATGATATCAATAAACTGGGGGAGCTCTTTTAGTGTAGTGCCTAAGGCACTTGACTGCTAACCAGAAGGCTGGTGGTTCAAACCCACCAGCCACTCTTTGGAAGGAAGGTTGGGCAATCTACTTCCATAATGATACTGCCTTGGAAACCCAAGGAGGGGTCGTTATGAGTCAGGCCCGACTCAATGGCACATAACAACAACAATAATAAACTGGGACTTTGGGTAGTCTCAGAAAAAAGGAGGCTCTCCTCCTGCCGTTTATTGAATCATATTTCAGTTCTTTTGGTTCTTACTCCAAGCTCCTTCTGACCTTAGTACCCTTCCCACAGTCTTGTATTTATTCCAAGAAAACATTCCTACATACTTGAATTTTATATGTTTTTCTTCCTTCTTTTTCTCTTTGATATAGTCTCAACAAATGTAGGCACAAAAGCACTCATAGAGGTACACTCACTTTACACATTCACATTCTCACGTAGTCCTACACATACAATTGACCTTCACTATCTCAGGCAATGTTACCTTTTACTGGATACCCACTGTATAGAGAGGGGCCTAAAACTGTTCCAGGAAGAGGAGATAAGGGTCCACAATGCTCCTCTTGGAGAATTTGCAGTCTTCCCCAGGAGATGTGATATTCACACACATTTTCTCACACAAAAACACACATGCATTATATTGTTTCTCTCAGCAGAACTCACAGAAACAGATTTATCTAGTGATTTAAATCAAGGAGGTGAGTTTCAGACAGGAATTATAAAGAGGAGTGCACGGTCCAGGTGAAGTGAATTATCAGCCACAAGATTGGGGAAAAGTAGGTCATTGAACCATTCTTCAGTGTGAAAGATACTTTAAAAGCCTGTAGTACAGTTCCTTCTCCATTTTTCAAATTTTAAAAAATGCAACTGACTTGAAGAGTCATCAGAGATTGTCAGGTCTGTAATGTTTAAATCTGAGATACTAGAGACCTGTTTCCAGAGACAGAGAACTGAGTAAAAAATTTCAGAGGGACTACATTGGTCTCTGGAGATCAAATCTCATTTCTTGACAGGGTGGGTGTTCTGTATTATTAAGGGAATGTGAAGCAAGTGACAGACAGCACCTGTATCATGCACGTGCATTCTGACCAGGCTTGGCAAGAACACCAGATATTTGGAAACCATAAGAGAGATATTAGGAGCTCTGGTAGCATAGTGCCTAAGGCACTTGACTGCTAACCAGAAGGCTGGCGGTTCAAACCCACCAGCCACTCCTCGGAAGGAAGATGGGGCAATCTACTTCCGTAGTGATACTGCCTCGGAAACCCAAGGAGGGGTCGCTATGAGTCGGGTCCGACTCGACGGCACATAACAACAGCAACAACAACAAGAGAGATATTGTCCAAGTCATTACTAGGTGATGAGTAGTTGTCAAACTGGCAGGAGAGAATGATATCACTAGTTCTATGCTTATGTACAATAAAATTCAAAATCATAAAAAAGACTAGACTTACTGAGTAGATAGAGACTGGTGGAACCCTGACACTGTGGCCCTTAAACATCCTTCAAGCCTAGAATGAACCTACCACAGGACATCAACTTTCAGCAAAACAATAGACAGACCTATAAAACGAATAATAACAGCAGGAAGGAACATACTCCTCAGAACAAGCAACCATAGGGGGCCAAAAGGGCAACATTTTCCCCAAAACAAAGCTGTGAAAGCAGGAAAGTGCAAGGAGACGGAATGGAAACAGGGAAGAATTCGAAAGAGTGCTGTTACATTGTGAGGCTTGCAACCAATGTCACAAAACAGAATGTATATAAATTATTGAATGGAAGACTAATTTGCTCTGTAAACTTTCACCCAAACCACAATAAAAAGTTAAAACAAACAAACAAACAAAACAGGTAAACAATACCATCCACCAAGTATCCTCAAGCAAGGCTCAGCCCATCTATGCCTCCTGATATGAGAGAAAGGTGAAAAGCCAAGGTGCTTGGGGAGGTTGTATTTGCCATCAAAAGCCACACAATGTACTCTCTCTGCCTTTGGGGCTAAATTCATCAGCACACCCAACCCTGCTGGTGAAGAAACCAAGCTTCTGAGAAGAGCAGAAAGAGCCTTAACATTCTCTTTAACCAATAAAACAGGAATAACAAGATGCAAATAAAAACAGAAGTCTAGAGACTGATGCCAGAGAGACTTTTCTTGGGGAAAAGGAGGCACCAGTCGGGACTAGACAAGAGAGGGCCCACCCAAGGAAGGAATGCAGGCAATAAGAAAGGAATTTCTTCTAGAACTAAGGACCATAATCAAGGGATAACATGAGAGTGGCCCAGGTTCAGAGCTGAGATTCAGGTCATTTAGGACCTCAGAGACAACTTGGGCACAAAGGAGGATAGAAGAGCAAGAATTGAGTTCCACTGGAGACAAGAATCCCAGATGAAGCAACAGAATCTCACCAGAGTTTCCTCTGATGAGGGCTCCAAGGAATGCTTTTGGTAGGAAAGGGACCTGGGCCCAAGACTACAGGTGTTAATGTGATTACATAGTCCTAGAACTGGGAGCTCTGGTGGCTTAGTGCCTAAGGCATTTGACTGCTAACCAGAAGGCTGGCAGTTCAAACCCACCAGCCACTCCTCGGAAGGAAAATGGGGCAATTTACTTCCATAGTGTTACCACCTCAGAAACCCAAGGCGGGGTTGCTATGAGTCGGGTCCAACTCGACAGCACTTAACAACAACAACAGCAACTGGTGTTGAGGACCTTGTGAAAGAGATGATGGTGGTACTGAAACCAAGTAAAGTGTTCCCCAAGAATATGGAACAGTATTTATACTAAGGGAGACTAGAAACTGAGTAAATTAAAAACTATTTCCCCCACCCTGGTTAAGACAGATAATTAGATAAGATCCCAGATGGGTATAGATAAGTAAACTAAATTACCCCCAACTATTTCCCCACCCCGGAAAGATGAGTATTCAGTTCTTAATGGAAAACATTTTTTCCTGCAGGTGATAGTATCTTAGAAAACAACTTGTAAATTAACTCTGGCCCACGGACATGCACAATAGGGCAAGGAACTGACCCTCTCCCCTCTGCTCCCCTGCCCAAGCCCCTATCTGCTGATGACAGGAAGCTGGTGTGACTCATCCGCTTCTGGGCAAAATCATCATCCATTTCACACCCCAAATTTCTCAACCTTTTGTGAATATGCATAACCCCTTCTCCTGAAACCTACAAAAACTGTATTTTGATGGCATCTCGGGGAGTCAGATCTGGGTACTGAACTACCCCTACTCCTTGCATTGCCGCTTTGTGATCTTGGTGTGTAAACTGTTTTGGCCTGACTGCACACTGTGCAGGGACGCGTGTTTGGTCCTATAACAGTACCTGTGCCTAAAGGCTCTGGTTCATGAGAGGTAACAGAGCCTTAAAGCTGTAGAGATAAAGGATCCAATTTACACACCCAGGTTTAAAGGATGGTTTGGATTTCCCAAGGGCCACACCTAATAACATATTGTCCATTGAAGACATTCTGGGTCAGTGACTGAAGTGTCATCTTATTGTGAGCAAAGGAAACTGCTGCTGTAAAACTTAGGCTATCCCAGCTCTCTTGTTTCCATGTCACATCCAGAGGAAAAAGACACCATAAGAGACAGGGTATTTAGGACTGTGCTATCATGTTAGATAGATCCAGTCCATCCAGTAATTTCTACCACTTCTATTAACCTGACAGCTTAAAGTTTCTTCTGGGGTGAAAGCAACTCAGTTCAAAGGCAGGAATTTTAGTCTTTTCTTACCACTCCCAAGACGGAATCTACCAAGAGATGTATAGTCAGATGATTCATTTACTAACATTATCCTCATGGCCTCCCAGAAAAACCAGAAATGCCAATTGTTTGCCTCCATGATCACTTCAAATATTCAGCAATTCAATAGGGCAAATATGGGTTAAAGTTTCATTTTCTGATCAAGAGGCATGGTTGAGTCTAGTCCCAGCAGCTCCAGAACTTCCTCCTGATTTAACCCCAAGAAGCCTGCTGCACATAGCAGCCCAAACACACAGGATGGACAATATAGACAGGTCCAAGTAACATCACTGTCAGACACCAAGCAAGTGCCAAACAATGTAAAGCCCCAGATTTTCATCACAAAAGCTGGAATGAAGATAGAGTGGTCCCCCAAATCCCACTTCCTTAAGGTAGGGCTTATTTGCTGCATAAAAAGCCAGCTGGCTAGAGGTTCCACACCAGACCAGAGAGACAAGATGGCTCATTCTTCTCAGTGTACTAGATGAGTGTCCCCTCTGGGGACTTTTTATTTTATATTAATTGGGATCTCTTTGGCATTATAAGTATTTATTTATTTATTTACAATGAAATTGCTATTTGTGTACAGTGGACCTTTTTTTATATATAATTTTATTCATGATATTGTTGATATTACACACTGCAAAACATACACCAACAGTTTTGGCATGTATCATTCAGTGACATGGATTATACTCTTGGAGTTGTATAATCACTCTCATCTTCATTTTCTGAGTT